TTGAATTTCAGTAGATTAATTTTTAATATTACATATTTCATTCTCTAATTAGATTTTCATTTATTAAATTTCAGTATTTCATACTATTATATTATTGTTATTAGTATTTCCTTCTCTAATTAGATTTCTTTTTATTGAATTAAATAAATATTTTTTATTATTAATACTTCCTCTCTAATTAGATTTCTTTTTATTGAATTTCAGTAGATTATTTTTTTAATATTATATATATATTTTTTCTCTAATTAGATTTTTTAAAGTAGAATTAAATAAATAAGTTATACAAGTAAATGATTTGAAACACTTTGCACTTTTAATAATAGTATAAATAGTTAGATATATATATAAATAAGTGTAAGAACCTAACCATTCGGTCAATTTCACTAACGATAAAAGATGGTTAACGTAAATGTTACAACTATTTTAGCTTCATACAACAATTATGTCCTTTATTTAATGTTAATCTGAAAACACTTTGATCTTAAAACACTTTTATTTTACTAATTGAGTGAAACTGTCATACCCAAATATAATAGTCACCGACATTCATTTCATTAAAGAACGAATAGAATACAAATCTGTTCATCACCATAACCCAATTCAGACCCACATAAAAGATTCAATAAACTACAAGAGCACAAAGAATGTCGGTTGAGTTTATAGATTATTTGTGCTACATTCTCTTTTGCATTATCTAAGAAAAGCTATTTTCGAGATCATTTGTGCTATAAGTAGAGCTATCATTGATATTTTGTTGCGTTTGGTGTGCAGGAATAGAATGGAATGGAATGGAATGCAAGTGAGAATAGAAGGAGAATATGAATGGGAATGGAATTGAATGACCATTCTCATTTTATTGTTTGGTTGTAAATATGAAATGTGTAGGAATGGAATGATACTAATCATTTTAGTGTTTGGTTGGATCAATTTAAAATTTAGAATGGAATTGTTAGAATATATTCTATAATATATCATTACCATTTATAGCATTAACTTATGTGATAGTTGTAATCTATCTGTGGAGGGAAAAAATCCCCCTTCCAGTAATAATCATCCACGTCGTCACACTACAAAATTAATCTAGATACTACAATGGCCCAATCGGTACCAAGCCCAAATTAGATCAGCCCAGTCCAAAGCAAGCCCAGACAAGGCCTTGGCTCCCACATAGATCGCAGACCCGAGCCACCTGGCCCAACTTCTAAGCCCAGACAGCGACAACCCGTCACACCAAGGGCTAACTCCAAGCCCATTAGCTGAATCGTCTGGGCCAACCCACAGTCAGCTTAATCTTGGTAAAGGGAAGTCATGCTAGGTCAAGGAATCACAAAAGAGAGCAAGTTCTGTACAAGGAAAACTTAACATAGAAAGAATTGTAGAAAGAAAAGGATTATAGTTGTAAAGAAAATCATATATGGAATAAATTGGAGGACAAGCCATGCGAATCCTACCAAAATTCCACTACTGTATTTCTTATAAATAGAGGCCTAGACCTCTAATAAAATCATCAAGCATTATATACTTATTCTGAGTTTTATTCTTGCTTGTTTTGACTGAGTTGTATTTTTCTTTTTATTTATTCTAATAGAGAGAAATTTTGCACCTATACTTTGGCGCCGTCTGTGGGAAACATATAGAAAGATACTCCCATTTTTTGTTTCAAGTTGTTTTTTGTTTCCACGATTCGAAATGTCGAACGGAGAATCAATGGCAGCAGATCAACAAATGGAGTTGATGCAAAAGATGCAAGAAGAGTTCTTGCACCAGTTCGAAGGCTTTGTCAGGCGAATGAAGTCAGCGTAGCCCAAATTGCATTGCTGCAACAGTAAAACGAAACCCTTTAAACGACTATGGCACAGTTAACACCTCAGCCACCACCAGTTGATAGGGCTGCGCCTTTTCCCAACCAAAATGAACCTCAAGGTAATGGGGTTCGGCCCAATGAAGTTCGGCCACCACCAGTTGACAAAGTTGCGCTTCCTCCCAATAAAAACGAGCCCCAGGTCAATGGGGCTCGGATTAGTGAAGTTCGGCCCACGGAAGTTTAGCAAGACCAGAGGGCCAGATCCGAGGCAGTAGCTTCGGACAATCTTCCTCGTTGTACGCAAGATGAACATGTCGAATCCAGCCGTAAACTCACGGTATGGTCTAATGGTGTTCCAGATGGTGCAGGAGTAAAGGAGGCCTTTGACAAGAAGAGGCTCTTGGGAGTTCAAACACTTACAGAGATGGCCAGGGAATATAAGAACTCTCTCGTGAAGACTCCATTCACTGACGATGTGTACCTCGTCGAGAGACCCAAGAAATTTACTATGCCTTCCTTTACCCAGTTTGATGGTACAGGAGATCCTTCCCGGAACTTAGATCACTACGTGCAAAAGATGGCTCTGGATGATCACAATGACCCATGGATATGCAAAGTCTTCCCTACCAGTCTAACGGGGGCTGCGCTGGAGTGGTTCAGGAATAGGCCGCACAAGTCTATTCCAGATTACGAAACTCTATGCACTATGTTCCTGGAGCAGTATTGCGGTAATAAGAAGCAAAAGAAGAGTATTGCTAACCTTTTTACTATAAGGCAAAAGAAGGGTGAAACGCTACAAGACTTCTTGTCTAGATTCAATATAGAGGCTTCAGAAATTGCAGATTGCCACCCTGCTACCGCAATAGAAACATTCAAACTTGCAATGATTCAGGGAACCAAGTTTCATACGTCCTTGGTTAAGTATTCTCCTCCGGACATACAGATTCTCAATGCTAGAGCATAGATCTACATCTGACTGGAGGAGAATGTGGCCCACCGAGCTCAACATGCCACCCTCATTACGGTGGAGAACAAGCCTCAGGAAAAGGTTTCAAGCTCAAAAGGCCGAAGAAGCCAGCACGCTTCGGCACCAGCCATTTAAATACCCGAAAAAGGGCAAAGGACAGAAAAAAGAATCATACCCCTTCACACAACCTTGGCTTGGTTATTCCAGGAGAACAAAATGAAGTTTACAGCCCCTCAGCCAATAAGGCAACCATTGGAACAGAGAGACAAGACCAAGCACTATGGTTACCATAGAGATTATGGGCATACGACTACTGATTGCAGATCCCTTAGGCGACAGGTGGAAAACATGATACTGAGGGGTGAATTGGCAGATTACCTTACAATAAAGAAGTACGTGAAGCCTTAGGAGGTCAACCCTCGGAGAGTCGAAGGTACTTAAGTGAAGGTCATCCATGCAATACATGGAAGATCGAAAGATGATCAGGAGTCAGAGGAGGTTTATAGATCCTGACTGAGAACAGCCCATAAACTGAGGAGGCTATCCTCAGTAAACGCTATTGCTTCGGGAAGCATCAACATTGGGTTCGGCGATGGAGATTTATCTAGAGTTCAACTTCCCTATGAAGATCTATTGGTTATTCGTCTCCTGGTGGCGAATTGCATGATAAAGAGGGTTTTGATAGACCCAGGGAGTAGTACCAACATCATCACAAAGGCGGTCTTTAAGCAGCTAGAGATCCGGTCATCATCAATTCGGCCTACCTCCAGCCCATTGATGAGGTTCGATGGTACAAAAGTGGATCCCCTTAGGGTGATTGACTTATCCGTAACTGCGGCAAAGAGGACTTTGAAGGAAAACTTTGTCTTAACAGAGATCCACCCTTCCTATAATCTTATTATGGGAAGAGGTTGGATCCACTGAATGAACGGAGTTCCGTCCACCCTTCACCAGGTGATGCGATTTTTGTCTTCGGACGGGAAAGAGGTTATAGACCTCAGGGGAGATGAAGTAGCTGCCAAAGAGTGCTATATGTTAACACAAAATGAGGCAAAGAAGGTAGTGAAACAGTCCCAACCGATTACACCTCCGGGAAGCAAATCTAAATAGCATTTACAGAATCCTATGCCCAGGTATCTGAGAGCAGAGGATGAGGCCAAAGCGGAAAAGCCTACCGAGGAGTCTCTGGAAGCTGTCGAGGTAATCCTCGATGATCCTCAGAAAATCACCTACATGGGTTCTTCCCCCATAGCCGAAGAAAAAGAAGCATTAATCAATGTCATTCGACGAAATGCAGATACATTTGCTTGGGAGCATTCAGACATGGTGGAGATCGATCCTTCAGTCTCATGCTATAGCTTAAAGGTGGATCCGGCATACAAACTAGTCAAGCAGAAGCACAGAAGGTTTGCTCCAGAGCGCAACCAAATTATAGCTGAAGAGGTAAGCAAATTACTTCAAGCAGGTTTCATCCGAGAGGTGTACTACCCACAATGGCTCTCCAACGTGGTGGTAGTTTAGAAGAAGAATGGCAAATGGAGGGTTTGCATAGATTTTACCAATCTCAACAAAGCTTGCCCTAAAGACAGCTTCCCGTTACCCAAGATTGATTAGATGGTTGATGCCACTATTGGTTTTGAGAGGCTCACATTTCTTGATGCGTACTCTGGCTATAACCAAATTCCTATGAATCCGTAGGATGAAGAGAAGACTGCTTTCATAACGGAGAAGGGCACCTACTGTTACAGAGTTATGCCCTTCGGGCTCAAAAATGCTGGAGCAACTTACCGGCGCCTTGTTAACAAGATCTTTAATGAAATGTTAGGAAAGACGGTCGAGGCCTATATCGATGATATGGTGGTTAAAAGTGTGAAGAAGGAGGAACATCCTAGACACCTCCAAGAGGTCTTTGACACTTTAAGAAAATATGGCATGAAGTTAAATCCTTCGAAGTGTTCCTTCGCAGTTTCTTCAGGGCAGTTCCTAGGCTATATTGTGAACAAAAGGGGAATTGAGGTAAGTCTGGCTCAGGCTCAAGCCCTCATACAAAATCAAGAACCAAAGACCCGCAAGGAAGTACAATTTCTGACTGGCCGAATCGTAGCTCTCAGTCGATTTATTTCTCGATTGTCCGATAGGTGCAAACCATTCTTTGATGCAATAAGGTTTAAAAACAAAGACATATGGGGACCATAACAGCAAGATGCTCTCAATTAACTGAAATGTTACATGGCGAAACCCCCAATTCTATCAGCTCCGAAGCCTGGTGAGACTCTTATCATGTACTTAGCCATCTCTAGCATAGCCACAAGTGCAGTATTGATCAGAAAAGAAAGTAAGAGTAAGTATCCAATTTTTTACACCAGTAAGACAATGACAGATGCAGAAACGTGGTACAGCAAGGCCGAGAAGATCATATTAGCATTAGTATACGCAAAAAGGAAACTTCGACACTGCTTTGAGTCACACAGCATCAAAGTTCTTACCAACTACCCCATGCGAGTCATTCTTTCTAAACCGGATTTGTCCGGAAGAATAACTAAATGGGTGATCGAGCTTAGTTCCTTTGACATATCCTGCAAATCGAAGGTGTCGCACAAAGGGCAAGCGCTAGCTAATTTCTTCTTGGAGTACGAAGATAAGCCCGAGGAACCAGGCCCTTCCGAACCATAATGGGAGCTTCGGGTAGATGGTTCCTCGAACTTGATTAGTGCTGGAGCAGGAGTCATTATCACATCTCTTGAAGGCACCAAACAGTAGCAGTCAATTCGGTTGACTTTTCCTGCTACTAATAATGAGGCAGAATATGAAGCCTTGCTTGCAGGACACCGGTTAGCAAACCAGCTTCAGGTAAGGTGCCTAAAAGTTTTTAGTGATTCTCAGCTTATTATGAATCAAGTAACAGGCCAGTATCAGCCTAAGAAGGATAGAATAAAGGCCTACAGAGAAGCTGTGGAGATTGCCTTACGAGGGTTCGACCAGATTGAGTTTCATCAAATACCTCGCGAGGAGAATTCTGAAGCAGATCAGTTGGCTGCAGCAGCATCTTCTTCTGATGAAGATTTGGTCCGAATTGTACCAATCGACATCCTGGATGAACCAAGTATAAGCCCTCGACAAAAGATAATGGTGATCCTAGATGTCCGACACGAACCATGCTGGATGGATCCATTGGAAGCTTACCTTAAGGAGGGGACTCTCCCTAACCAGAAGGCCGAGGCACAGAAACTCAGGCTCACCGCAACCAAATATGCTATCATCAATAACCAATTATATCAAAAATCATTCTCGGGTCCTTACCTAAAATGTTTGAGCCCCACAGAGGCTCTCATGATACTGCAGCAGATTCATAATGGGGATTGTGGCAATCACTCCGGAGGTAGATCTTTGGCGCATAAAGTTCTGACTCAAGGTTATTTCTGGCCTTACTTGGCTCGGAATGCTGACGAGTATGCCAGAAGGTGTGATAAGTGCCAGCGACATGGTCCAATGAAGCATCAACCCGCCGAAGATCTACACGCAATGGCGAATCCATGGCCATTCGCTTAGTGGGGGATCGATATGGTCGGTCCTTTGCCAAAAACGGTAGAGAAAAAGGAGTATGTGTTGCTAGCCACCGATTATTTCACTAAATGGGTAGAAGCCGAAGCCTACTCAAGTATGACCCATGAACAAGTGAAGAGTTTTTTATGGAATAATATAATCTGCCGATTTGGGGTGCCACATGTGATCATGATGGACAATGGCCCAAATTTAGATAACCAAAGCACAAGAAAGTTCTTTGCCAAGCATGGGATTAGGCAGAAGTTGGCTACGGTTAGCTATCCTCAGGGGAATGGACAGACAGAAATAACTAATCGGACTTTCTTCAGTTGCTTGAATTTTTTTTTGAAAAAACTCAAATCCAAATGGTACGAGAATCCACCTCAGGTACTTTGGGCATATCGAACCACCCATCGCTGGCCAACAGGAGAAAGCCCTTTTGCCATGGCCTATGGGTCAGAGGCTGTCATACCTACGGAATCAGCAGTTCCGACTCTTCGGACTCACTTGGTACTCGAAGGTAACAATGATCAGCAGCTCGAGCACAGCCTCGATCTTTTGGAAGAAAAGAGGGATGCCGCGACAATAAGGCTAGCTTTGTACCAGCAACAGTTGTGTAACAGTTACAACAAGCGCGTTAAGTTCAGACGTTTTGTGAAAGGAGATTGGGTGCTGAAACAGGAAATGGCCCATGTAAAAAAGTTGCAACCCAATTGGATCGGACCTTACAGAGTCACCGAAGTAGTGGGAAAAGGAGCTTACCGATTGGCAGAAGCTGATGGGCATCCAATTACGCGTCCATGGAATGCAATACACTTAAAAAGGTACTATTATTAGATGATATAGTTTGTTTACTTTCTATTTACAGATAACATACGTCTGTTTTTTTATCCAAGTATGGCTGCTTGTAGGCCTATTTAATAAAAGTTTCTTGAGTTATGCTCATCTTTGCACATCTTTACTCCTTTAGTAGAGTAGGGCCTTATTTCTCTTGTTGTAATAGGGTGCAATACACCCTACTGTTGATATTACGACAAAAGAAGGGTATCAACATAAAGCAAACAAAACGAATAATTTTAACTTTTTATTGATACTTACAAGTCATTTTTTATACAAGTGCACCAAAGTACAAGTATGTACCCTATTATTAATATCACAAGTCCTTTTTTAATGGACATTTAGGCTTTATCTAAATCATAAGCCCAAGGTTGCTTTACAGTTTTTTCATTTTTGGACACAAACCACAAATGTGTGTAGTTCAGAGCACTTTTCTACCATGGTCCCACATAAAAAAAAAACTGTTTCTATACTACCTTTATATAAGGAAATATTAAAGTATTTAGATACATTGCAAAGAGGGCCCGTTGGTCATAGTAACGGCCCAGCCCGAGTTGTGTTCAAAGCCCCAGTACCAACAGGTATTCTTTGCAATAATTTTTGTTCTTTCCAAACAAACCAGTTTAGTGGCTCATATATCCTTTGTCCCACATCGAATAGGAATACAAAAGGTATATAGTAAATATAGAGTTGACAAACTGCGTTTGATTGAAACGAAGAGAGTCCCTGTGAAGGAAAGCCTTCCAAAACAAGTGTATGTGGGACTTCCCAGTCAAAGTTACTCTCTTTCTTGGCCTCATATCATTTTTGAATCTTCGGCCAGCTTGGCATACTTGATGATTTTCCCAGATCCGGCTCACAGCCGAGGACACTTCGCTTCGGACCCCAAGAGTCCAGCTCAGAAAAGTTCTTCTCCGGCTCACAGCCAAGGACACTTCGCTTCGGACCCCAAGAATCTAGCTCAGAAAAGTTCCTCTCCGGCTCACAGCCGAGGACACTTCGCTTCGGACCCCAAGAGTCCAGCTCAAAAAAGTTCCTTTCCGGCTCATAGCTGAGGATACTTCGCTTCAGACCCCAAGAGTCTAGCTTAGAAAAGCTCCTCTCCGGCTCACAGCCGAGGACACTTCGCTTCGGACCCTAAGAGTCCAGCTCAACACAGTTCTTCTCTGGCTCATAGCCGAGGAACAGAACTCCTCGGACCCCAAGTGTCCGACACAATATAATTCTTTTTAAGTTAATTGCCAAGGAGCACAACTGCTCAGACCTCGGGACTCCAGAGCAGTACAACTCCTCCCGGGTTTATGACCGAAGAGCTTATTGCGTCGGTCGTTAGGAGTCCAACATAATACAACTCTTTTCAGGCTCCTGGCTAACTAATATATCACCTCGGACGATTCAAGTTCAATGTTCAGCCAAAGGGTGCTACTTCGAACGATTGAAGTTCGAAGCTGCGCTAGTAAGGTAGAAGTTCAAGCAGGGGAAAAAGTTCTCTATAGCGACACACCCACAGATCCTTACTTAATTGGCTAAATGATGCATAACCCGTGGAAAATTTCATCCCACATCGAAATAATATACGGAAAAACAAGCATTAATACGTTCGTTCCTTACAAATCAGTGGCAAGAAGAGTTCCCTTGACAGTTGGAATGTTAGATGAAGAAGCCTTCATCAGGTAATAACTAAACGGTCAAAGGGATTCCTTTCTTATCATCTGTCCTGTTTTTACTTCGGACCACAAAAGATCCAAAGCTCTCAGGCAATAAGCCTTCCTCCCGATGAGGAGCATATTATTACAATATAATTGTATAAAAACCAAAGGTATTCATAAATATGAAGAAGACTTTAGAATAAATGTAGTCATTGTATTACAAAAGATATGATTTCTACATTTCTTCATTCAAAACAAGGAAAAGGAAAAAAGGCAATTACACAACTCTACTTCTTTTTTGGATCAAAGGGAGTAGAGTCAAAGGCATCCACCACATTTGGATTAGTGGGAAGAGGGGTCAGCAGGTCAAAAGATGAAGGAGCTGGCAAGCTTGAAGCTGGAGGAACTTTTGGATGAGCTTTCACCATTTCGACAAAGAGCACTTCAGCTTCCTGAGCCTTGGGATCCTCAGCATAAGGAAAGGACACCTCCATGTTAGTATCAAAGGCTTCTGGGTCCTTCGATTTGTCACCAGAGCCCTGGTTGAAGCCGAACCTAAAAGCTTTTACGCTGGATAAACGCACAATGGTGGAGTAGCGTCCTTGCATTTGCCTCCCAGCAGTAATGCAGGTACCAATGTCATCATTTAAGCGCTGGACTTTAGCTTCCAGAGCCTGCACCTTCGCCTCAGAAGCTGTCAGGCGATTCTAATAGACATCCCTCGCATTAAAAGCAATCTTCCCATTCATAGCCCAGTGCAAAGACTTCTTCTCAGCATTACCTAAGTCCCTTTCCAGTTTCTTAATGGAAATGGACTGAGCTTCAGCAGTGGCACATAGTGCCATTGTTTGGTACAGACTCTGCATGATCAACAATAACAATATTAGTAGATTCATGGTAAAGAGAAATTTAAGAAATTGAATAAGTAGATGAAAAAGAATAAACCTTCACGGCATCCACTAGGGCAGATGGCAGCAGCTGGTCTAGCCCAGATTCCCAATGATCTCTTCATCCTTGGGAAACCACATACCTCGAGCAACTGCCAAGGTAGCAGAGGGGTCAGAGACTATGGAATCCCCGGAATGAAGAACTGACTTATCAGCCCTTGAGAAGACAGGCCTTCAGGGTTCTCCAGACTCAGCCTGAACGTAAGCCCGGATTTCCTTCTCCGAGTCAGTCTTTCAGCTTTCTTCCCCTTACTTTTGGGGATGGTCTTGTTCTTACTGCTGGAGGGAGGATTAGATCTAGTCTTTTTGAGAGGGGGTTCATCCACCTCCTGCTCGTGTTCAGTTGATCTAATGACCAATAGAGGTTGCTCCTCAGCAGCTTTCTTCTTCAGAGCTTCAGCTTTCAGTTTTTCCTCCTCAGTCAGGGGAAAGCTATCGAAAGAGGGGAGCGCCAAATCCATGAGATCTGCAGTAGAAGCACTAGCAGCGATTTCCTGAAGGTTGGATGAGGTAAGTAGCTCCTCGATTGAAGGGGGCTTGCTCCAAACTTGTGCTTCGAGAAAGGCGAGCCTCTTCTTAGCTACGGAGGAAGGAAAGGTTGCTGAAAGAAGACCAAGAAATTCATAAGTATGGCAAAATAATAAAACTTGACATGGAAAACAACCAGAGCATTTTTCATGAAATGAGGGAAGGTACTCTATACGTAACTTCCCAAATTTGCGAGGAATGGGAAGGGAATTCGATTTGTCCACAAACCAGTTTCCCTTCACGATTATCATCCTCTTCTTCCACTTCTTCTCGGAGGAAGGGAGGTCTGTGCATATTCTCTGATGAAGGGGAGAAGTGAGGTAAAAGCGACCAGGCTCAGTCCCATGCCTGGCAATGGTATAGGTAGCGAAAAGATCAGCAAGAGTCAAGTCGAGACTTTCCAGCCTTCGGCGAACTAGAAGAGCCGAAACCACTCGAAGGAAGTTAGGGTTCACTTGGAGAGGGGCAATCCCTAACTTATTAAAAACTAGGTGATAAAAAGGATAAAGAGGGAAACGAAGAGCGTTGAGATGTCCCACTGATTGAAATAATTCATTGTCTCCTACGCCTTCACCGGAACTAAAGTCAGCCCCTTTTGGGTATACGACAATATCAACTTCTTCAAGAATTTCATAATCATTTATTACAAACTCGATAGAGAACTTGATACAGTGAACAGATAAAATCAACTCTCTCTCCCCTTTGGTAAACACGCAATCGGACCCTGAAGTGGATGCTTCAGCATGTGAAGGAGAGACATCCATCTGAACAACTGAATTGTTCGTAGTTTCAGTGAGGTTAGAAACCCTAGGGGGAGGAATCCTGATGAGATTAGGGGAAGAAGAAGGGGTGGAATCCGAATCTACCAGGTCTATATGATCGTGAGTGGATGAGGAGCTCATGATGCGAAAGAAATTAGACGAATGAATGAGGGACTAACCTGAGATTGCGCTGAAGCAAAGAGCAAAGTGAACGTCGCGGGGTCCGAAACGAACTATGAAGAGGCCTTTTTTTTTTTTTTGTTAGAATGGCAATAGGCATACCT